CTCTCTCTCTCTATCGCTCTCTCTCTCTCTCTCTCTCTCTCAAATAAAAAAAAAAAGTTTTATAGAGATATTAAAACTTCAATTAGGGCCAGCAAGATAGCTCAGCAGACTGAGTGCCTGCTTTGGAAAGTGCAGGGACCGGGGTTTGTTCCGTGGTACTGCATGGCGCACAGGCCCCGCCCCAAGAGCACTGGGCCAGTGACCAAGTCCAGGCATAGGGGTGGATGCCTATAATCACAGCACAGGGGAGGCTGAAAACAGTAGGATCACTACGAGTCCGAGCTTCGTAGTGAGACCCTGTACCAAATACACAGAAAAACAAAAAACTTCAATTAAGTTTTCTAGCATTTGGGTATTATTCATGTTTGAGTCAAGAAGCATATTCTTTGAAACAAGGAGTCAGCCAGAAAAAATTAAAACTTGCAAGCTGCACTATTCTCTTTTGGGCTGAGGATTTAGCTCAGTAGAACAGCGCTGCTGGCAAGTGGGAGGTTATGAGTTCAATTCCAGTACCAAAAAACCCTGTTCTCTTCTGCCTTCTGTAAGACTTAATGAGAAGGCAAAAAAATGTAATGTCCATCTCCCTCCCTCTCTCACTACTAATGCAATCATTTGTACAATCAAATATCATTAATGAAAAGGAAATAGTACCATACTTCATACATCTTTTCATGGAAGAAGTAATTTTGAAAGCACAAGCTTAGCTTAGCAGAGGATATTGAGAAATTTCACTTTGAAATAATGTAAAATTCTATCTTACAATCTATTTTCCAAATAAAAAGCAAAGCCACTTACTTTATTTCAATAGATTCTGTTGCAGAAATACACTTAGTTGGAACATCAGACAAATCTTGATCCATAGGCTCATCTCCATTTGTCAAACCAGATTCTAATTTGCTTTTTTCTTCTTCAGTAGCTTGAAGTTCTGGCACTAAGAAATCCTCTGGTCTAAATAATAAGTCTCTAATTAGAAGTAGTAAGAAGCAAAGCTAACATTACATAAGATGTATAACTAGTAGGTGGCATACATTTCCAGACTGCTCACGAATTTCAAGACAAAAATATATATTTGATCCCAAGCTAATAGATTTCATACTATCAATTACCAGATGTATATATTGTGTTTCTCTTGCCCACCAAAGGGCGTTCCTTATGCACACTGTGTAGATGAATAAAAGGTCCCCAGTGAAAGACTGGTGAAAGGTCATTACAAGAGCTCAGTGCCTATGGGCGGGGAGATGGCTCAGTAGAATAAGCACCTGCCTGGCAAGCGCAAGGGCCTGAGTTCAATCCCTGGTTCCGCAAAAAAAAAAAAAAAAAGAGCTCAGTGCCTACAAAAAGCACAGTCTGACACTGCATTCTTTCCAAATAAATACTTTCTGTCAATTTCTGTGGTTTCCTTTGCCAAATCCCAAGAACACTACACCTAAGAACTCCTTGATGTCCTTTGACCTACTGTTTCCTTTCTGTCCAAGGAAAGCAGATGATTCACTTGCACATTTTTGAGAACAGATAACAAAATCCTTGGTTTCCGCATAAGCCTTCAGCTTTGTTTCAGTGTGCTACTAACACATCTCCCCATTTTTACTTCCACTATCAGACCTCTACAAGTAAAACTAAAAATTTATTTTAAAAATTTTGTCTTTAACCTCTGACAATTTCTATGCCTCACTTCCTAGTACACTCTACTGAGACCATGCATCTATTCTCTGGCACCCACACTGCTGCAGCACGTGCTCACCCTGCCGTCCAATGACTCGACCTGCAGTTTAGAGAATAACAGCAGCAGTAGCAACCACTTCAGGGCCACTTACTGCATGTCAGGTTCTATCCCTTAAGAACACAATTTTCAGGGATGAGGGTGTAGTTCATGGTGAAGCACCTGCCTAGCATGCACAAGGTCCTGGGTTTGAAAGCAAGTGCCACCACCCCCCCAAAAAAACCTCATGTAATTCTTATCTCCATTTTCAGATAAAGAAACTAAAGCTCAAAAGAACTGTCTGTGTACTAAATAGACTGGCTAAATAATGATCAAGTGGAACTGCAAGCAAACATCAGTGGCAAGTTATTTTCTGTTGTTTGAGAAGGCCAGGTCAACAAGGGAATTTTCCTCATTAATCCCCGGAATGACCTAAGTCCACTACATGCTAAAGACAGCATTATAGAAGAGACAAGAAAAGGACACAAAAAACAGAGAAACTGGGGCTGGGGAGATGGCTCAGTGCAATATGTACTTCCCTGGCAAGTGCAAGAGTCTGAGTTCAATCCCTAGTTCTGCACACACACACACACCCCAAAAAAACAAAGAAACAAAGCCATGTACTAGTGTTGTTTTATGTTGTTACATTTCCTCTCTGTTGTTTCAGAGAGCCAAGTAGACAATGGAATTTTCTAGTTAGACCCAGGAATGACCTATGTCCACTTACATGGTCAAACAGCATTACAGAAGTACAAAGAAAAGTACAGGAAATATGGAGAAACTAAGCCAGATACAGTGGCACTTGTGTGTAATCCTAGATACTTGAGAGGCTAAGGTGGGAAAATCATGAGAGTCTAGGAGTTCCAGAGCAGCCTGGGCAACACAAAATCCCCTCTCAAAACAAAACATAAAGCAAAGAGAAATAAACAGAGAAAAACAATGGAAAAGAAGAAACCAGATCATGAAAGGCATCACATACTATGCTGAGGCATCTGACATTTACCAGGGAAGTAACGGGGACCCTAAACACTGTTTTCAAATTTGTAATTTAGCAGACTTGATTTCATCTGTTTTCTGACAGTGGGTACAGATTTCATAGATATTCTACAGTTCTACTCATACTAACTCATATTCTTATACCTAAAACATGTACACCTTTTGGATCATAACCCATTTCCTACTAAATCAACTGCAACCCAAAATTCCCTTTATCCTATGTTTTTCTCCAAGACATGTCTCTTATCTCTCTTCTTACACAGGAAAAATCTTGTTTATCTTTTTAAACCATTCATACAACTAAGTATTAATTTCCCTTAATATCAATTTTCTAGGTGTTCCTCAACAATTCTTTTGTTTCAAATTACAAGTCGTCTACATCTTTCAAGCCAAGTTATTCAGAATCTAACAAAGTACATGCTGATGGAAGACCAAATTTACTGAGCTGATGTAACACCACTGATACCTACAATCTGTAAGAAAGAAAAGTCTGTTTTGCTCACATACTTGATAATCTCTCCATACTCATCCCATTTAATTCTTTCTTCTGGGGCAGGAAACATAGGGTAAGACTTTTTTGCCTGTTTGAAGAAACTTCCTTTACGACTACCTTCACCTTTCATCATCAGGTCATGCTTTGTCTTATGAGCCGATGGCTGGTCAATGTCTTCCTCGACATCACTCTCATCACTGGAGTCTATGTCTGCCCTGGGAGGATTGTGGAATAAATGTAGGTCATAAGGTTCCAAAAGATTTTAAATTAATATTTATAAAATTATTACTGAATTAATATTCAAAGTTACCAAATGAACCCAAAGTACTTAACTGAATATGAATTCAACTTATAACAATATTCAGTATTAGATCAATTTTATAAAACAGCATCAACTACCAATTGATAGATGCAGATTAATATCAGCATAGAAATGAACAAACAGCTTAGCCATTTGAAAGATGTAACGAAAGTAATGAAGTTCTAAGAAAACTTAAGTATTTCCAACTGAACATTTAGGTCTTAGAAAAACATTCTTATGAACAGAGTAGGGTGGCTGATGCCTGTTAATCCCAGCACTCTGGGAGCTAAAGTAGAATAATCACAAGTTTGAGCCCAGCCTGGGCAAGTTAGAGACTTAGTGAGATACTGTCAAAAACTTTTTTTAAAAAGGGGGTGTGTGACAGCAACCATTGAAAAAGAGTAGCCATGGCCCTCCGCTATCCCATGGCCGTGGGCCTCAACAAGGGCCACAAGGTAACTAAGAATGTGAGCAAACCGAGGCATAGCCGCCGCCGCGGACGTCTCACCAAACACACCAAGTTCGTGCGGGACATGATCCGGGAAGTGTGCGGCTTCGCCCCCTATGAGCGGCGCGCCATGGAGCTGCTCAAGGTCTCCAAGGACAAGCGCGCCCTCAAGTTCATCAAGAAAAGAGTGGGGACGCACATCCGCGCCAAGAGGAAGCGTGAGGAGCTGAGCAACGTGCTGGCCGCCATGAGGAAGGCAGCTGCCAAGAAGGACTGAGCCCCTCCGGAATAAAGCTTTGCAGAAAGTTCAAAAAAAAAAAAAAAAAAAGGGGGTGTGGAGCTGGGGATGAAGCTCAGTATGAAGCCCTGGGTTCAATCCCCAGTCTTGAAAAAAACAAAAATTCAAATCACATAAACTTAAAATCTATATGAAACTAACTTACTCTTTTGACTGCTCAAGTTTTTTAGCAGCTTCTTTCTTTAGTTTCTCTTTTTCCAAGTATTCCTCAAGTTCTTTTCCTTCAAGCTTCACACGTTTCCTCAACTAAAGAAGGCAGTGGGCAAAAGAAAATGTCAATATTAGGAGGTTAAGGCAGTGACATATCACAACTAATTCATCATCTTAAATTTCCCTTTAAAATTAATCAAGTTTCTATTACCTGTAATCATAGATCCTACTTAGATTAGAACTAAAACTGAGCTCTCATATGTCTAGGATGGGTTTAAATAAAACTGTTCAAAAGTATCAGTCTGAAGAAAATGAAGATAAGTACTTTTATAATTTATCCAAATAAAACATAAAACTATGAAGTCAAAAGCATAATCAAAAAAATGTATAAGGCAACATTAAAAATAAACTAAATTTTAATTTTTTAAATGTTTTTTCATCATATTCTGTAGAGACTTAAAGTTCAACATATCAATACTTGATGAAAAATACCTGTTCCATGTTATGCCTAAGATGTTTGATATTCAGACAGATAGTGAGATTAAGCTTAACAGCCTAAGTTGTATGGTAATAACAATAAGCTTCTCTTCTGGAGGGTTAATAACCTAAGTTTGCAGACCAAAATTAGAGAAAAAGGAGGGCCACAAGGAAAGCCAACATTTTGGCCCTAGCCTTCCAAGGTCAATTAAGACTCAGGACATATGAGAACCTGTACCTCGGTAGTGTCCCAAATTTTTTGATCAAGGAGATTATGGGGCCAAAGAGGAAAGTGATCAATGATGTAGAGTATGCCTAAGGAGAGTCACATGGAGAGAAAACATTCTCTCAGGCTTTCACAGAGAGCACATTGGCCAGGCAATGGCCGTGACTCATCTACATGGCTGACACTGACAAAGGATCTACAATCTGAGGTACAGGATCTCAGGATAAATCCTGAGGGGATTTCACTGACCTTATCAGATCCAAAAGCTACAACTCTTGTTGCATAGGTCTTGCTTTATCTTGGTCTTAACCATCCAGCAGAAAAGTATAAAAACAAAGTATGAGAAGTAAAGCCATGTTGTTATGTTGAGCTGTAGGGGACTCAGGCCAACAATTTCTGACATTGCCAGTCAAACGGAAGACCCAATACTATTACTGGACTCTTTTAGAATATTTTGCTGAGTTAATACACCTATAATATTCAAATGATGGAACTAAACAAAAAAGGGGATATATAAATGAATGTACAGTTTCTATCTGTGTATTCAAAGTGGTTAGGATAGATATATAGTTACATTCTCTTAATGAATAGAGGGATTTGTTCTAATAGTGTTTGTAAATAGGATATCATGTCTGCATCTTGTATAGCAAATAACCACTAGGAAGACAGTATGCAATGTGTTAATTACTGAAACTGTCCTATCAATTTGATTTGAAACTGTCTCATTGCTATTTGTCTCTCAATAAAATTATGGAAAAAATTGATAGGACAATTTATTGATAGGAAAAAATTGATAGGACAATGATACAAATAAAATAGTGAAAAAATACAAATAAAATAAATACTTGACATTTATCTCATAAAGGCCGGGGAGATAGCTCAGTTGAATAGTGCTTGCCTGGCAAGCGCAAGGGCCTGAGTTCAATCCCTGGCTCTGCAAAAAAAAAAAAAAAAAAAAGTGTTTTCATCAGGTCGGGGAGATGGCTCAGTGGAATACGCACTTCCCTGACAAGTACAAGGGCCTGAGTTCAATCCCTGGCTCCACCAAAAATCAATCAATCAATCAATCAATCAATCTCACAAAATTAGAATATATCAAAAAGGACAAAGTATATGAATTTATAAAATAAGATGGATAACTAGTAGACATAGAAAGATATCTATTAAAAAGTCTACAGTTCTTGAAAAAATGCAAAATATAAAAAAATAAAATTTTCATTGACATGATTGGCAACGATAATTACAACCAAAAAGGGGACACTTCACCTATTATGTGCAAAATTTAGTACAGCTGCACTAAATGCAATTTGCTAATATCTAAAAGTGAAAATGTCACTTGACAGTTTTTATATTTCTAGGAATTCATTCTACTGAAACAATCACACAAATGTGCAAAAGAAAGTACAGTGCAGTAATGCTTGTAATAGTAAAAAAATGGGCAAAACTTTGGATTCAATATGAAATGATTAAATCAGTAATTCTCATACTTTTATTTGTAGATGACCTTAGACACTTAAAAATTAAAGAGAATCCCAGAGCTTTTTCTGGTAGGTTATATTTACCAAAACAAAAGTTACAACAGAAATTTTAAAAATATGTTTTTCAGAATAAAACCATTAGATATCGACATATTTTTGCAAAAATATATTTTCCAAGGGAAAAGAAGAAGTGAAAGTATGGCATTAGTGTACATTTTTCTATATCTCCACTCTAGGGCCCAGCAGGATTCTGAATCTGCAAATCATCCCTTACAATATGTTGCTCTGGTTAAAGTACGTGAAGAAAATGCGGCCTCATCTAGATAAGATAATCTAAGGAGAAGCAGCTTCTTTACAGCTATTTCCCTTTCAAAAATGAAAGTTCACAAAGCAGGCATTTCTGTGCGTGTATGTGTGCACATGCACAGGTCTAGGGACTGCAGCAGCCCTTTCCCCTGAGCTATGCTCCCAATTCTTTTATATTTGGAAACAAGGTCTCACCAAATTGTTAAAATGAACTTCCCACAGTGCTGCGATTACAGGCTTGGGACACTACGTCTGTCTAAAGAGTGGTACTTTCTTAAAAATTAGCTATTATGTGGACTGAAATCGTACCATAATATTTTGTGTTCTGCTAAATTAAGATTTATTGATGTATCTTGTGCTCTGAATGGATCTTTTATTTACACAATATTTTATAACAGCATGCAATAGTTATTCAGAAATACCCATTCACCAAATTACACAGATCTCATAAATAAGATTTGTAAAAATTGCATTCACAAATATCAGAAATCTTTTTAGCTATCCATGTCACAGTTTGTGTATTTCCAAAATTCCTTCAGTCTCCCAAAATTTTTAATTTTCACTTGAAAGTTAAAATTTTTAAATTAAAAATTTTATCAGACATAGGCAACAAACGTTAATAACCTTCCCTTTAATAACAGGCTTAAGTTTTTAATTTTTAAGAAAAGATCATTCAAACACTCAAAAATGAACAATCATTATTTCAAGGAAAAATGGTGCTTCAAAAACAAAGCAGCTGGTTTAACCCACAAGCAATCACTCAAGTCTCTTTTACTGGAAATAACCATGGTGCCTTAGTATGCAATGCAAATGCTTTATGCACATTTCTCATCACTAAAATTATTTTTAAAATGACTAAACAGGTGGAGTAGCAGTAGTGACTCTAACTGTTCTGTCAAGGACATTCTTTCACTGAACTGGCATTTTTCTTAACTACAAGTGCCTGGGGTGGTAAACAGATACAGCGATTTCCAGCCCAGCACATACAGCGCCCCTGCCTTAAGTATTCTAAGACACCAGCACTTCTCACACCATTGATTTTGCTCATCAGCATGAATACGACACAGTGAATAAACAAGCAATATATTAATACTACTATGAAAGAGAGTTCTGGTCTTAGGGACTCCCTGAAAAGCTCTGAGGAATTCCTTAAGGTCCACCAGATTAAATAACCAGAGTACATGTATACGATGTGTGAAGTTACTAAAAAGAATCCATTTGTTTATTGCAAAAACATTTGTTCACAATATACCAAATACTATGTAAATAGGATATCATGTCTGCATCTTGTACAGCAAATAACCACTAGGAAGACAGTATGCATACATTCACTCTTCAAGAAAGACTCTAGTAAGAAGAACAAGCTTTAGAATACATAGTTAATTTGGACTTTAAAAAAATACATAGTGGCACATGCCCGTAATCCCAGTAGTTGGAGGCTGAGGCAGGAGGATTGCTGGGAGTTCCAGGCAAGCCTGTGCTACAAAGTGAGTTCAAGGCCAGATAGAACTGCACAGTGAAACCTTGTCTAAAAAAAAAAAAAAAAGACTACCAGCTGTGGTGGCACATACTATAATCCAAGCATTTGGAGGGGCCGAGGCAGGAGTACCATAAGTCCAGCTTGGACTATACAGTGAGACCCTGTCTCAAAACCAAAAAGATACCTGTACTGGGACACTCACCCTCCCACCCACACCCACAGTCACACCCACACACATGCCTCAAAAATGTCAACAGTCATACCAATTTAACCCAACACGTATTCCTGGATGGGAACTGAGACAAAAAAGGGGAAAGACAAAGCCGAGTAGGGTGAGGGAGTGAAATGATAGTATACTACTGATGCTTATCTCCTGGCTTTACTGTGTAGTAGTTTTGTAGGGGAGTGCTCTTGTGGATGGACTAGGTATGGATAGAAAAGAGTTCAAAATGTCGTAAAGTCTGGGAATGCAACTCAGTGCTTACCTGGCATGTGTGAAGTCCTGGGTTCAGTCCCCAGTAGCATCAAAAAAAGTGGCAATGATCTGTGCAGTGGTTAGCTTGGAGGGGACACAGAGGTTCAGGAAGGAGTTGTGTGGAGAGCTGATAATATCCTAATTCTTTTTTTCCCCCCCATAATTTCATTGAGAGACAATGAGCAATGAGACAGTTTCAAATCAAATTGGTAGGACAGTTTCAATAATTAACACATTGCATACTGTCTTCCTAGTGGTTATTTGTTGTACAAGATACAGACATGATATCCTGTTTACAAACACTATTACAACAAATCCCTCTATTCATTAAGAGAATGTAACTATATACCTATCCTAACCATTTTGAATACACAGATACAAACTGGACATTCATTTATATATCCCCTTTTTTGTTTAGTTCCATCCTTTGATTATAGGTGTGTTAACTCAGCAAAATATCCTAAGAGTCCAGTAATCCATAATAGTATTGGGTCTTCCGCTTGACTGGCAATGTCAGAAATTGTTGACCTGAGTCCCCTACAGCTCAACATAACAACATGGCTTTACTTCTTATACTTCGCTTTTATACTTTTCTGCTGGATGGTTAAGACCAAGATAAAGCAAGACCTATGCAACAAGAGTTGTAGCTTTTGGATCTGATAAGGTCAGTGAAATCCCCTCAGGATTTATCCTGAGATCCTGTACCTCAGATTGTAGATCCTTTGTCAGTGTCAGCTATGTAGATGAGTCATGGCCATTGCCTGACCAATGTGCTCTCTGTGAAAGCCTGAGAGAATGTTTTCTCTCCATGTGACTCTCCTTAGGCACACTCTACATCATTGATCACTTTCCTCTTTGGCCCCATAATCTCCTTGATCAGAAAATTTGGGACACTACTGAGTTACATGATGTTACAGTACAAGTTCTTATATGTCCTGAGTCTTAATTGACCTTGGAAGGCTAGGGCCAAAATGTTGGCTTTCCTTGCAGCCCTCCTTTTTCTCTAATTTTGGTCTGCAAACTTAGGTTGTTAACTCTCCAGAAGAGAAGCATATTGTTATTACCATACAACCTAGGCTGTTAAGCTTAACCTCACTATCTGTCTGAATATCAAACATCTTAGGCATAACATGGAACAGGTATTTTTCATCAATATCCTAATTCTTGACTGGATGCAGACTAGGCAGGTATCTTCACGATGTGTAAATTCATCACATGCTATACTTACGGTAAATACTTAAAAAAAATAAAAAAACAAAAACAAAAACGTAGTTTGGAACAGGACCTCACTACACAGCTAGGACTCGAGTGATCCTCCTGTTTTCAGCCTCCCCAATGCTGGGATTTTAGGCATGCACCACCACACCCAGTCTTGATGGCTTGCTCAGCACACCCGGGGGCAGGGCTGGCCAAGGATTGATCCCCAGGCCCTGCACTTGCCTAAGCAGGCACTTAGTCCACTAAGCTATCTCACTGGCCCTGGTAAATACTTTTGAATACATACTTCAGTGAACGCTGTTGATGTTCTAAATTTTTGACTTGAGTTAGTGTGTGGCAAGGGCTGCCATTTCCATAAGATAGACAGACAATAAGGAGGTTGAACTGGACATAATTGTGCATGCCTCTGATCCTAGCACTTGGGAGGCTGAGGCAGAAGGATTATTGTGAGTCTGAGATGAGCCTTGGCTACACAATGAGTTTAAGGCCAGCCCAAACTATATAACAAGACACTGTTTTGACAGACAGACAGACAAGTAAACCTTTTTAAAAAAGTTTGAAGGGGAGAGAGTAGAATAAAAATTGGAGTGTGATCAAGTAAAGAGAAAGACAATAGATGATGAGGAAAGGATGGATAACTGCAGAGAAATAGCTCTAAAAAGGCATGCAGGGAAACAGTCCTAAACAGTAAGCATATTTTGTAAACAGATCTGACAGTTCATGTTTCAGTTGCTTGATACTCTTCTGCATATCATTGCCTATTTCTTCAAACTCCTAATATTCTTTTATTAATTCTTCAAATGGCATATCAGCCTTAATTGAATTTCTAGTAATTAAAATTTTAAATTCAATTTTTCATATCTCAGGAAACTGTTCCAAGTACTTCTGAGTTCTTTTAATTTGGTATTTCTAAGCTATTAAATAACTCAAGACAGTATTTTACTCTGATGTGCTTGCTCTGAATCCTCACCAAACAATTCTGTATTAACAGTGAGCATACAGCAGATTTTAGTTAATAATACTACGCCCTTTTATTTTACTGGGGATTAAACACAGAGTCTTTCATATGATAAGCAATTGCTCCACTGCCCCCCCCTTTTTTTTCTTTTCCAATTTTAGTATATGCACTGCTGAAAGGAGCACAAGTTTTATTTTATTTTTTATTTATTTATTTTTTTTAAGTTTTTTTTTTAAATATTTATTTATTTTTATTTATTACATTTATTTATTGTGTGTGTGTGTGTGGCCAGCTCAGCCCACCAGGGGGCGGGGCTGGCTGGCATGTGGTGCTGGAGGATCGAACCGAGGTCCCTATGCTTTGCCAAGCTTGTTTCAAGTAGGTGCTTTAGACCACTGAGCCATCTCTCCAGCCCCGGAGCACAAGTTTTAGAGATAGGGTCTTGCTAAATTGCTTAGGTGCCTAGCCTAGCCTAGCCTAGCCTAGCGTCTAAATCATAATCATCCTGGCCCAACCTCCTGGTGCCAGGATTACCAGTATATGTTATCACACCCAACCCATTTCTTTAGCCTAACTAGAGTTACGTAAGATAAAGATACCACTTAACTTTTATACAATCTGAAGAGAAACCAGAGTATAAAGATACCACTTAACTTTTAACAAACTAAACATTTCTTTAAATGGTTGCCATGAAGACTTAATGAAAAGCAGTAATCTATAACAGTGTCCAACCTTAGCAGTTATTAACTATCTCAACCACTATCAACTGCTATAAACTTTAGTCAGTAATACCAATTCTGGAAAATTAGTAGATGTGATAGTTGGGTTATTAAGCATAGAAGTTTTTAGCATCTTGGTCATTTGGCAAATTGTCTTGCTCTCATCAAGGAGATGAAGGAGGACGTGAAGATGCACAAACAGGTTAGTGTATTTTGTACTAGTAACCTAAAGGAATCCCTGTCTAATTCTACTCTCTCCATTATATCTGTGACAAGTTATATGCTACAGGCAAGGCTGAGTGAGCCATAGGATGTTTGAGTAAGAAGACAGAAAACTGCATTACTGGAGAATGTGAAATCTTATCAATGTTGAGTGACCTTTTGAAATATGAGGTCTTGAAAGTGAACGGGAACCTACCCACAGGGTTGTGTCTAACTCCAGTGACATAAAGCACAGATTGGGCAAATGGTTTAACTAGGGTCAAGGTTTTGCCAGGTGAGTAAAATAAAATGAAGGAGAGGAGAGCTAAAGGTGTTGACAAAGCTAGCAGTCAAAAATTAATGACTTTAAGCTACAAGGGTGAGGAACAAAGGAAGTTGATGCACTGAAAGGCCCAAAGGGATGGAAGTCCTACTGGTACTGAAGTTGTAGAAAAAGTCAGCTGTAAGGTCAGAGTCTGAAGTGAAGATATGGATGGCAGCAGCATAACACTGGGAATAGATGTCTGAGGCAGAGTAAGGAAAAGAACATGAGGAATAAGGTGCTGAGGATTCGAGAAGACCAAGGAACCAGGCAGGGCATGCATACAGATGCTAACATTGGCAAGAAAAGTCCAGGATATGGGTGGGCAAGAACTGTGAACCAGAAACTAAAGTCATGATGAATGACACACAAGGACCAAGAGATTAATAAATGTCTGAAACATGGAGCAAGTCATCAACCTGATGGCATGAACTGCAAAGGGAAACAAAAAGGCTGGAAAGCCGCAATACACAACAAGCACAGCTACCAACTCCACCCAAAGTAAAAAAAAAAAAAAAAAGAGAGAAAAAGAAAAGAGTTCTAATTGAAAAGACAAATATGATTAGGGAACAGCCCGATTTCAACTACGGAAAAGGCTGAAGAGGAACTTTGCAGATACTGAGAACACAGTGAACACAGACATACTCCCTAAAGGTGAGGTTCCCTGGAGCACAGTGAGAGTTCCAGAACAAGAATCTCTAGCTAAGAGTTCTGAATTTTTGCTTTAAATGCTCTCTGTTACTGTTAATATGGCAACTTTAAGTTTTATTTTTAAACTTTTTAATTTTTTTAAAATTTTATTTATTTGTGTGTGTGTGTGTGTGTGTGTGTGTGTGTGTGTGGCCAGCTCAGCCCACCAGGGGGCGGGGCTGGCTGGCATGTGGTGCTGGGGGATTGAACCACAGTCCCCGTGCTTTGCTGAGCTTGTTCTAAGTAGGTACTTTAGACCACTGAGCCATCTCACCAGCCCTAAACTTTAATTTTTAAATAACATACTACCAAAACAGTTCTATGATAAAGTCTGCATACAAGTGCTTACCTCTATTTCTGTAATTTTTTCAGAAGGATTATCAATTAGGAAACGTGCTAAAGTCCCAGGAGTAGTTCTGTAAGTTAGAATGATTGAGTTTTTAGGGTCCTGACACCACTGAATAAAGAGATCTCTTGAAAATCCACACTCCAGGTCAGGCTGGCTGGCAAGGACAACCTTGGGGCTGGGTACTCGAGCCAAGTCAGAAAGACCATGGCATAATGAAAGATGGCGAAACTGAAATGGGTTATTCCTTTTGTCTTCGAAACATCTCATCAATTTATCACTCATCCATTCTACCTAATATGGGGAAAAAGATAAGAGAGATTAGAAAATACGATAACTTCAATGGATCCTACAATAGTCAAAGAGTTCAAATTCTATCTCAAGACTTTTCCCCACTATTACTGAAGTCTTCACTCTTCTGAAGCAGCAACTTTCTCATTCTCTTTCCCAATTAAGTTCTCCCACTCCAGTTCTGATCCTAAAAATCCAATTTCTCAGTGATTTTAATTATTAGTTGATTATAAGTCACCTTTTTGAGAAAGCAGTAAGTTCTAAATAAATATCCTTCCCTAGAGATCGTTATTTCAAGACAGAGAGTTTACACAAAAGAAACAATAATGAATCCTAACATTTATATCCTATCCAGTTGGTTCTATTTTTGTCCTCGTTTTATAAATTGGGCTACCACGAATAGAAGAGAGGGCCGGCCAGATAGACCAGTGGACTAGTCTATCAAGTGCCTGCTTAGGCAAGCACGGAGACTGGGGTTCAATCCCTGGCACCACATGCTGCACAAGCCCCGCCCCTGGGTGTGCTGAGCCGCCCACTGAAACCACACGAGCGGTGGTGCATGTCTGTAATACCAGCGCTGGGGAGGGTGAAAACAGGAGAATCACTACAAGTCCAAGCTGCGTAGTGAGACCCTATACCAAACACATAAAAAAAGAATAAGAATGAGAAGAGAAACAACCTGTTCAATCTGTGAAATGCAAACAAAAATAGAAACTATCTCATAGGGTATATATAGATTAAGTAATTATGTAAACAGTACAAGACAGTAAATAATGTTAGCTACTATCAACCTCTTCAGAAAAATAATATCCAAAAGGCAATGAAGATACTAATTTCATAAGATCACTGGCAAACTTCATTATTGCAAATGATACAGTAAAAACCAACCTGTGATTTAGAAAACTCCACCACATTATAACTGACATTATTTAGCAGCGCCAGTGAGTAAACACCCAGTCCTGCATCTTTAGTTCTCCAAATCTGATCCAGAAGCTGAGCAAGCTCTAAAACTCTGCCTGCAGTATCCACTGCTATTAACACATTTCCGTCAGCTCGAAGGGTTTCCAGGACGTTTGCTAAAAAACAAGAATATAAAATTCCTATAGAACAAAACAATACTCGACTATAAAATTAAAGACAATGTTGTCTCCCCGTTTTTACAATGCAGACTAGATATTTATAAGTAAGCAATCACTAGACCTGATACAAAATGAAAAGTTTTGTTTAGCTCAGCGTAACTTCTAATTTTCTCAAGTATAGCTTCATTAGAGGTCAAAACTAAGCTGTTAACTCTCAAATTTTCATTTAAATATTATAAACCAGCAGTTTCCAACTCTCTGACATCAAACATACATAGAAAATGGTATTTGGGTCAGGTGTGGTGGCACATGCCTGTAATCCCAGCATTCAAGAGACTGAAGCAAGAGGAAACCAATGGGGGACTGGCTTACACTATATAGTAAGTTCAAGACCCTGTCTCTAGGGCTGGCGAGATAGCTCAGTGGAATAAGTGCTTGCCTGGCAAGCGCAAGGTCGAGTTGGATTCCTGTACCACCAAAAAAGAAAGAAAAAGACCGTGTCTCCAAAAAAAAAGAAAAAAGAAAAAAAATTTCACTGGGAAACTGACCAGGTCTAATTCAATAGGCATGGGGGCTTCTAAGCCACCCTGTATTCACTTGTCCACCTCAGTGACATTTATTAATCCCAAAATTTATTATATATATGTATATGTATATGTATATATATGTGTGTATATCTATATATCTATCTATATACATACACACACACAAATATGCACGTATATACATAATATGGAGAACACATATTTTGTATGTACACCCACAGGATAAGTTGCAGATCACATTTTCTTCCAAAACCAAATCAAAACAACAATAACAAAACACAAAGTATAAAATTTTTATATGTATATAAATTTTTAACCTTCACAGACTTATTTGCTCTACATGAAAGTCTACTTGGAAATAATTGGTAAAAAGCAAACTAACAGAAACAAACAAAAAAACATGAACTGAGAAACTTCAAGTTACTGTATAACCCCACAATATACAAATTACACTTGGAGTAAATATTGAAAGTGGTCGCTAATATGTTTGACAGAAGAATCCAATCTGCCTGCTGAAATCTCATACCGCTTATGAAACACAACATGGAGTGAAGCAGCTAGAGACAAAACAGAAATTAGCAGCATAGTTTAGAGACATCTCTTTAAAAACCAAAATGGGAGTGTAAAATACCCAACACCAAAACCAGCAGATGATCTCTTGGTGTACCTTTTGTCTATCTTGTCAGTTTTCTTTTAGAGTGTTTTTTTCTATTTTAAAATCATTTATGTATTTATTTATTTGATACTGAATCTCCCTACAGACTCGTAGTCTTAGCCTCCCCGGTGCTGGGATTACAGGTGTGCACCACCATGCCTGGTCTCAAGAAGCCAGCTTGGCGCATCAGGGATTGAACCCAGGTCCCTGTGAATGTCAGGAAGGAACTTAGACCCTGAGCTTAGGACCGCTCTAGGCCTTAGAGTGTGTTTTTCTAATTAATAAGTATAAAGCCTTACTATACAGAAACACCAGTGGGTGCCTGGGAGAGTTAGCTATGTGTGGAACAGTAGGAAGAAGTCAATCTTTACATCCTCTTATTTAATATATTGACATGGTCATGTTTTTCTTCAAAACTACTAGAGTTAGCTAAGTTCTCATGACCAAGTTCAGCATGGCAAAAAGAATTTCATGCCACTATGCACTTCCACGGCTCTTTAAAAAGAACACTGGCCAATACGCACTCAGAAGCTGCTCATCTCTCTGCTTCCTTCTGGGCTGCACATACGTAGCGTTGAACGAGTCTGTGATGAGTAGAGAGGGTCTGCTCAGCATCTCCAGGGAACATCCATTTAGGTGGCTGTTAAAGTGAGAAGAACAATATTTCAGATAACTTCAAATAAACATTAATAGGTTCTATTCATTAAAAAATAAGCAACTGCTTTTTTTTTAAGGCTTTTCCCTTCAGCTAACTATAAAAGATTTTATGTTCAATGATTCAAAGAAATCAGGTATATTTTTTAAAATATGTATAAAGAGGAAAAAAAAAACCTTCCAGAGGACCACCACAGTACAAAATAACTGACATATTTTGAGTGTACCCTGCAAATTATAAGTTTTGGCTGGGCATGGTGGTATATGCCTGTAGTCTCAGCAATCAGGAGGCTGAGGCACGACAACTGTCATGAGTTCGAGGCCAGCCTAAACTACATAGCAAAATATCTTAGAACCAAACTAAACCAAAACAACAAAAAACAAAGTATAAAAGTTTTTATATGCCTACGTGTGTGTGTGTGTGTGTGTGTGTGTGTGTGTGTATGTATATATATATATATATACACACACACACATACATATATATATTTATTTTTAAGAAGTGGATATCCTACTGGTCACAGTGGTACACATCTGTAATCAGGAGGCTGAGGCAGGAGGAAAGCAAGTTTGGGGACATAGCTCAGTGTTAGAGCGCTTACCTAGACATAAACTCCTTGGTTCAATCTATAGGACCTCAATATGAAGAAAAAGTAGATACCCCAGTTCTATTTCTATAGTCTAGGTGGCTTTTTCTGAGATAGGGTCTCACTATGTCACCCAGGCTGGTCTTGACCTCAAGGTGATCTTCCTGCCTCAGCACCCTCAGTGCTGGGATTACAAGCATGACATTAAAATTATTTCCTAAATCAGTTTTTATCACTTGTAAAAGCTTCCTATCATGTCTGTATTGTATTTATTTGACCCTTTCATTTATATTTAAGTCATGTTTTTGCCATCACAATCTTTAACGAGCATTTTTAAAAAAGCTTCGGCTGCATTTCTGAACATTTCTTTGGGTGGCTTTCCTAGAAATGACTTTTTTACTTTTTAATTTTATTTACATTTATTTTATTTTTGCCATCCCAGGGATCAAACTCAGGACTTTGCGCTTGCCAGGCAGGCGCTTATGCCACTCAACTATGTCCCTGGCCCTTAGAAATGATATATTAAACTATGCAAGTGTTGTTAAATTGCTCATTACTTACCCTTTCCCAGAAAGGTTCAAACAGGAAGACTTATCAACTCATACAATATTTCCCAAAAGGCTTCCATTTAAAAATTGTAATCTACTAAATAAATATTATAAATAATTACATTTCTTTTCTTTTTTTTTTTTTTTTTACTTTGTTACATAAGTTTTTTTGGCCAACAAGCAAATATTTCCCCTATTTTTAATTGGTTTTGTAACTTAGCTTATATTTTTTAGACAGTTTAAAATCTAATCTATCAGACTTTTCCTTTGTAAATTGGTCCATTATCTTTTTTTTTTTTTTTTTGGTCCATTATCTTTATGCTTGCAAATTCTTCCAAATCAAAGACCACCAATATTGATTCTTTTTCTAGTTAATTCTAATTCATCTGAAATTTATTATTACATTGTAAAGAAATTTAAAAATTTCCAAAAATGGTTATATTCACCACTTACTCAAATCTCATTTGTCCTTGTTAATCTGTAAGTTTAAATTCAATCTATTAATCTTAAATATTTAATATAAAGATCTTGCAAAAACTGTAATCTGATGCAAGCTTCCAACTTACTATACAAACATAACAAAAGCCCATACGAGACTGAATATCAAAAAATTTATAGTAATGTTAATCAATGCAAAATGAAATATGTAAAATTGTAACTACTAGCTTTTGTCTTCATATACCTACATCTCCCTCTTGTGGTTGAAGTCAACTGCATAAACAATTTCTTCTTCTCCATCTTTCACTATCTTCCATATTGTTCCACCTATCATATGCCCAGCTGGCAGAGGTGTAATGGACAAGCCATGTCCTTTACCTATATCAACAAGATAATAACAATATTCAAGTTTCTTTCCCAGCTCTATAAAAAGGTTATATTTCAAAGCCCAATTGAGGTAACATATGGAATGATATAAATTCAGAAATATAAATGCATACACTGGAAAGCACGTCTCATACTCCTCTCCTCAGCTACTATACTCCTTCGATGGAGACAAACACTTGCAATTTTATTATGTATTCTTGCAGAGATAATTGTTTTTATAAGTAGAAAGCTAGAGATTGAACTTTTAATATTAAGTGAGAGTATGGACTAGCAAATTCATCTTTTGTGTGTGAGTGATGAGTCACTGAACCCTCAGCCTCACACGTGCAAGGCAAGCACTCTAGAACTGAGTTATACCAGCTCTAAATGTTAACATTTATATTAGCAAGTGTTTCCATTTTTTCTCACATCTAAACTAATAGAAAAACAATTCAATTCAGATCTCCCTAGGGTAAAGAATTTATTCCTATAGAAAAGCTAAATACGAATGACAAACAAAAGTACTGAGACCACTGCTACTTCCTGATTCTCCAGAGTCCATTATTTACAAAAAAAGAAAAAGTCATTTGTACCGTATTTTCAAAGCTAGAGTTCATTTTTAAGAAAATCTCTACTGCATTTCACCTGCAGATGATACATATACTCAATGTATGATTAATATATATCTTGACCTAATATCTTCCTAATATCCAATATTAGAATTTAGTAATTTTCTACTCTGTTATCACAGCACTTCGTTTACTTCAATTAGTTCATTTAGACACCTGTGCTACTTTGTCTCTTGAATTTAATGTAAGCTCCCAGGAGCAGGATCTACACCCTCTACCTTGATTTAGTCTACATAACAAAAATTAAAATAAGTGTTTCCCAAGTTAAATAACAAAAATTGCAAGCTGTCAAAATTTTGTTAGTATTTAATCTAGAATATTTTTAAAGGCCAGGCCTGATGGTGCATAACTGTAATCCCAGCTGTTGGCAGGCTGAGGCAGGATTGTTGCAAGCTCATTGTTGTTAAGCTACAAGACCTTAGAAAGCCTCACCTACAGAGTGAGACCCTGTCTCAAAAAAAAAAAAAAAACCAACCTTAAAGTTCAGATTGAAGGCAGAAAGGGCAATTTTTATTCTCAGACAATAGTGTCAATAAGTTTTATTGTGATTCTCCTGAGTATTTGTTAGGAGCTTACATTCTACTAGTCTAGACTGAGAATGTGGGTCCGTGGCAGTGCTTGCCTAGGCCGTGCGAGACCCTGGGCTCCATTCTTAGCACCACAAACAAAACAAAACTCATTATTACATGGGCTGGTGAGATGGCTCAGTGGGCTAAGGCACCCAATTAGAACAAGCTTACCAAAGCACAGGGACCGTGTTCAATCCCCCAGCACCTCATGCCAGCCAGCCCTGCCCCCTGGTGGGCTGAGCTGGCCACACACACACACACACACATAAATAATTTTTTAAAAACCTCATTATTACAGAAATGTGTACTTCAATTATTTTTTAGAGAAACATTTTTTTACCTTTCAAATTCACAATTTGAGAGAATTTTAGCTGCTGTATTTTATCAAAGGCTGCATCCACATCATCTAATGTAAAGAGGGTAAAATCCTCTGTATTGTGTCGAGACTAAAAGAAAGGTACAAATGAAAGGTTAAAAATCATCACTGACAATGTATGATATTTTTCCTTCATTGTTTAAATTACCTGATAAAGATCATACATGAACATCTGCCCCATTTTATAAACAGGAATGGTTGCGTAGATAGCGCAGTTCAGACCCAACTTTCCCACAGCATAAGGGAGGGCCCCGAGATGGAGAGGGTCTGGGTGCGACAGCAGCACTGCGTCAATCTGGTGAACATGCCTGGAGAACACAACCAAAATGACAACTTAAGCCATGCTTGCTTGTAAGAGTAAAAGCAGAAAGGTCAAAATCACTCTTTCTGGACTAAAGACTACACTGGGGTAGAAGGCAAAACAAAGAACTAAAATTATATGCTTAGGAATTTCAATTATTACTGCCTGTTCTACACAGACAACAAAATTACAGTGTAAGTTCCATCTAAACATAGTATGTTATGATGTTTAGACACATTTTAAAAAGTAAACAAAACAATAAGTAGATGATGATTAGCTGCCTTATGTACTACTAAGTTCAAGAGCGCAGGTTGGAATTTTAGATAGCGTTAAGCAAAAAATAAATAGCCACACACCTACTATAGATTTTTAACCAACAGCACGATCAGTACAGTAAAATGTCAATCAGTGAAGTTCCCATTGACAAGAGGTCTTTTCTTTTTTGGTTTTATATTCTAAGTATTTAAAAATATTTCAGTCCTCTTTCCTTCATTAACCAGTTACATCTACAACTGAATCTTTATATATA